AAGTGCTGTGGGATAAAAATGATAAAATGAAGTGGGGAGTGGGAGCAGGTTGCATTTGTTTTGTTGTACGATCTCACCGGATAATGAAATGCACCTTGCCGATGTGCTCAACGAAGATGTGTTTTCAATCGGTGCATATTACCCGCCATGGACATATGGATCACAAGTATGGATAATGGCAAAAAAGAAATGTAACAAAACTTTTAAGATATGTAAAGACGTGCGAAGAGGCGCATGCGAGGAATTACACTTAAGAGAGAGACAGGTAAATGGATGCATTGGTAAGATAAAAAAAAATACACTAGAGGCATGGTTTCGGCTGTCAATGAATGTGGACAGGACACGGTCGCTTGAAGTGACGATGGACGGTGGTCAGGAATGATAACGGAGTGGCATTGAAGGAATAGAATGCGTCCAAGAGGAGGACGTCCACCTGGAAGTTGGAGCGATGAAATAAATTGAGCGTGGTGCCAGAGTGAAATAGATCGTGGCATTACGAGACCGTGAGGAATGGCAACAACTTTGGGAGGCCTTCATTCATCAGTGGAAAGGTCACGGCTGATGGTGGTGATGATGATGATGACGTTTCCATCCACCAGAATAAATTCGGGACCTGATCTGGGAAAAAAATGATGTTGTGTGTGTGTGTGAAAATAAATAAATACATGAATAACTACACATTTGTAGTGCGCACAGTTTCCATTTGATTTTAAGGAGCGGGAAACCACGAACGAGCGAGAAGGCATTCCAGAACCAGTACCATCAGTTGTTCAAGCTCTGCAGTCCTACATTGGGATGTTGTGGCCAAACTCCATTAACAAGTGATTATTTCTGGTGGGAGAAAACTGAAGTACGTAGAGAAAACCAGCGCACGCGATGGGGGAGGTAACAGTCAATCCCCGTACCGATGGAAACGATCCCACCTGGGCCATCATCATCATACCCCCTCGCCATAATCCAAGAGGTCGTGACGTCACAGCTCTGCGGTTTCGGGCACTCCACAAGTTTGCGCGATCCACCAAGGCTCGCCTACACGGCGCTGGATGTTGCACCGCCGGCGACGAGGCCGCCACGCGGGATTGGAGTGGGTGACCCCCCCCCGCCCACGTTCTCGCGCATCAAGTTTCCTTGCGGTGTCGTTGGCTCATCAAACAGCAATGGGTAAAGGGACAGGAGGGATTTTTTACTGGCAAGTGGTTGCGCGTAGAACTGCTGCTGTTGCCCCTGGATCACTGAGGGTATAGAGTGCCATCGTCTGTATCACTACAGTTTTCTCTAGGGTTGTTCTTTCTGCACGCTCTGCGGCATAATTGGGTTTGGAGTTGTCTGGTGTTTTCCAGCATGCCAGCAAAACTTTGGTGATGGAGCAATTCGAGTTATCGTTGAGTCCAGAAGGAATTGCTTCAATCGCTGGGCCTTTTGTGTCCAGAATAGCTGCGAGAGGCATTGCTGAAGCTCGCCGAGTGGCGCTGAGCAATGACAAATACTTCACTCATGGTGGTGATTACTCCCCGCTCGCCAATCTCTCAATTTCCTGCGTTTTGGGTTGCGAAGCGTGGGTGTTGAGATTTATTTTTTGCTGTGATTGTGGCCGTGAGATGCCACAAAATGACTGAATGGTCCCGGCCGCACGGCTGCGCGAAAGACTTAACGGGGCGCTTGCAATGCGGCTGCGGTACTCTTCCCGAATGCACGTTCATGTAAATGCGTGTTTGCCCGTGTCGCAGGTTTTTCTTGATTTATGAAGAGCTGTGTTGTTCGTAACCAATTTGGCTGCTGTTTTTTTTTTACTCCCCCACCACTCCTCCTCTATCGCGTGGATAATGTCGTTCTCTTTCTGCCAGTGGATTATTAAAGAGCAGTGGGCAACCTGGGAATTTACTTGGACCTGAAATTGTTGGAAGTTGTACGATGATTTGTGTCTTGTGTAACTGTGGGAGAGAAGTTATTCACTAAATGAGATCTCTGTCTATGCCTGGCATATGCGAGGCAATATATTTCGCAAAGTTTTTTTGTGCGTGTGTGGAATTAAGCAAAAAAAAGTTTTAAATGGTTGTGTGTAGAATTTGTACACATTTATCACCTGTGCACCTTATCATCATCATTATTATTACCAGACACATCCTCGCAACAGCGGCTTTGGGTTAACCATCGAACAAAGACGGTCACCGCATCGCGCGCTTTCAGAAGCGCTTCTGCGGCCGTCTGGAACGCTCTTCCTATGTGATGAAGCCACTGGAGCTATGCACATTTAAATCGTCTAGATTGACACACTGGTTTCTTTAGAACCGTTTTTGCGTTTAGTTTGTTTACTTTCCACTGCACCTCCGATTAGTGCGGTTGGCTACGTACGGTGCAAAAGAAGTTCAACATACATCACAGATGCAACGCCGAGCCACGTGGGGCACAACCCAAGCACGTGATACGGAGAGAGAGACCTTCATGTCGCTCGTGTTTTTTTTTCCCCACTCCCGTCGATCTCCTATTGTTTTTATTTCATCTCCACTTAATCGTCAGACGTGTTGCAAATTAGCAAAACCCAAATCCCGATTTGCATTTCGCCGGAAGAGATCGGTCGTTTGTGATGCGTGCGCGTATCCATTCGCAAATTAAGCATTAAGCCAACGGGACGTTTCTACTCCCGAGTGGTTTGCCGTTCATGTTTGTACTGCGTCCGTATTGATTAAATGCGCCGCGTCTGTGTTTTTAGCTCTTCCCCGCCGGGACGCGAATGAGATGGAGCACCTCGAACGCGCAATGATTTTATTTTGTTAAACGCCACGTTAAACGAACAAAAAACATTGGGGCAGGTTTCTTTGGGGGGGAGGGAGATATTTTTTTTCTTGTCTTGCTAATCGTTCCACGGTAAAAGTGTCGTCTATTATCGCCCCATCGTCGTCGTCGTTGTTGTTGTCCTACTTTACCAGTCTCGAGTGTGAGACGTGGGTGGGCGGTGGCTGTTAACGTCACGCGATTCTAATGGTATCGACGGCGTGTGACAATGGACGCTGATTATAGAGTGGCGACACAACCATCACCATGAGGCTCGCCTCCATGCCTTGTTCAAATAGTGCTCGAGCAGAACAAGAAATGAATGCAAATGTTGAGAATGTGTGCCACTTTGCTTTCGTGCTTAATCACAAACACCTCGCTCAGGACTGGGATTAAGTGACGTTCATTAAGGCGTTGGGTGTGAGGTTGTGGTTTTTCGCTCAAATCACGTGAGCCATAGCTGCTCGTCGATGAGCTTCGTCGTTCTTGGAGTCTGCATTGTGCACCAAACAAACACCAATTCATCGTTGTCCTCGTGAGTCATGAGCAATGCATTGTTAGTTGAAGTGTACCCTGAATCCATTGCCAGCTCTCACTATCATGCGATGTAATGGCCTACGTAGCACCCGCGCGAGAACTGATGTAACAGACGAGATAGTAACCGCATTTTATATAAAGTGTTGTCGTTGTGATGATGAAGAGGAGTCTGTGATGGGTGGGACAAGGATGGATGAGGGCAAGTTACTGAGCCAGGCCTTGGAGTGGCTCCCAGAGACTGGCATACAAGGGGAAGGCCTCAAGTTAAAATGTAGTGGTGATGAGTAAACAAGAGTGGTCATTCTAGGATGTGTCCACCGAGTGACAAGTTGAAGACCTAGATTAGAAGGTGGTGGTGGTGATGACACTGTAAGATCGTAGGACGTGTCTACTATGTAGCAAAGGGGAAGGCCTAAAGCCAGATCCTGTTGATGACGAGACCCTATCAGCAGACCTTGGAGGTTAGGTGTCAACTGTGCAACAAATTCTGAATCCGGAATAAGGAAGGAAGACATGACGTGTAGTGGCATTATCGGCATTGGCTATGGTGACCTGTTGACCTCCGTGGGTGGGGTGTTGTGGCATTACCGGCATTGGCTATGATGACCTGTTGACCTGTTGACCTGTGTGGAACATTGATTGTTATCCCCACGTCTGTGTGTTGTTTTTCTTCCAGGTCATTTATATTTCTCCCGCATACGGAGAAAATTACTCATGAATTGATAAGACAATAAATAGATTCGTCGCTCCACGTAAAACAATTTAATCCTCCAGTGCATCAGCCAACGGGTTTTCAGGACATATAATAGCCGCAGAAAGCATAGGCTGATGGACTAAAATTACTCAATGCATGCGCGGGGAGATGAACAAGAGAATATTTATTTTAATGCCAATACCGCACTCCATGACAATGGCTGATGAGTTTTATTTTCGATCAAGGAATTGGACATACATCCAAATTCAAGACCCTCCTACAGAGAGTCTTGAAACTCGGTGAGGTTTTCCTGGATAAATACATGACATATATGACCTGAGTTGAATTCCCGGCCAAGGCTAACATCAGTGGTAAGTGATATCTGAACAGGTGTGAGGACCCCACCGACCCCACCTACCCCACCGCCCTCACCCCCCCTGAATTCCTTCACCAACCCGTACTAGCCAGCGTGGTGAAATATGGTCAAACAACACCCACGACCGACCACGGGACACTGAGAAGCCTTCATCCAGCAGCGGCTTAACAAACGGACGGTTCAATTTCGATTTAAAGCTTTCGTGACTGCAGGGATTCATCTTCTTGGTTTTTTCGGTAAAGTCACGTAGAATGGAAATAATAAAATAATAAAAATAAAACAATAAAATTATTCTCACGACTGTCGTCTCGACGGACCTGTTCTTCACCTGAGGACGGCTGCTTGCGTTGTGGCCGAAACGTCGTGAGAATTATTTTATTATGTTTAATTTTTATTATTTAATTATTTCCATTCGACGTGACTTTACCGAGAGAACCAAGAAGATGAAACGGACGGTTCGTTATTATTCGGTTGACCTTGGTGCATTGTGAATGACCTTGCCGCGATGATACCGTTAACCCACTTCCTCTCCGCTCAGCCTCCTCGTTGCACTCCTCGTTGCAGAGCCCGCCTCGGTGATGATTTCCCCTCGTTGTGTGTTTGTGTCCGCTGTGTTCACAGGCGGCCGACTCGAATCTGGTCGCGGCGGACAGCCACTGGATTTATGTGAACGAGGTAGGGAGGGGGGGAGCAGCGACTCCACGGCTCTCGCTCGCACGCACACGCGCACACACGCACACACGCACACACGCACACACGCACGCTCACACGCACGCACACACGCGCACACACGCACGCCCACACGCACGCACGCTCGCTCACACGCACGCACGCTCACACGCTCACACGCATGCTCACACGCTCACACGCTCACACGCACGCACGCACGTACACGCGCACACAAGGCACGCTCACATGCTCGCACGCATGCTCACACGCACGCACACACACACGCACGCACACACGCACGCTCACACGCTCGCTCACACGCACGCACGCTCACACGCACGCGCGCACACACGCACACACGCACGCTCACACGCACGCTCACATGCACGCACGCTCACACGCTCGCATGCACGCACACACGCACGCTCGCACACACGCATGCTCACACGCACGCACGCTCGCACACACGCACGCTCGCACGCACGCGCGCACACACACACTCACACGCACACACTTTCACACGCAGGCTGACACACGCTCACGCACACACGCCAATGCCGATGCACGCACGTGGCTTATCTCGCGGAATCCTATCAGCATTGCGTTTTATGCCCCTCTGTACGTACGCGCGCGCGTGCGTCTGGCCTGTCCCGCGAAGGACGACGCGCAAGGATGGCGCGGTGCGCCGCATGGCGCAGTGCGCCGCATGGCTGCGGCGTGCTCATGCACCGTCACACAATGCTCGTCGCATTCAGGCCCAGACACCGGACTAGCATGTGGCAGTAAAACAACCACGCTAACAGAATGTGTGCCCCCTTATTGCTTGACAGCACCTTTGCGCCTGCAATACAATTCCACGTATTGGTTTCTTTTTTTTGGAAGGTAGTGCCCATAGAGTTATAAATGTCACCGTTGTTCGAACACAATGCCAAGCTTGCAACGGAAGGAGCGGTGCTCGTGACGATACTCGAGGCAACTCGCCCACTTCACCCACCCACACGGGCATTGTTCACCCGCATTGTGACACCACGTGTGTTGCTGTCATTGTTAGAATTCACGGTCCCCACTCCCACCACGAGTCCATGAACGGTGATGATTTCAAGGTCGCGATTTGGTTCCAGAATCCATTCTTTTTATTTGTCTCGCCTTACCGCTTCCTTTGTATATTCCGTCTCATGCGTTCAATTAGCTTAAAGGTGACGTTCGTGCATAATTATTCGCAGCTCGTGAAATCAAATGCAGATAGCTTATGAAGTTCCATCATGGTTAGCCCACTGGACTTACAATCCAGAGGTCACCGGTTCAATTCAGCCTCCGTAGGGCAAGATTCTTAAATTCCCTCGATCTCAGGCCGCCCAGCATTAGAAATGGGCAACACCACGGCCGGTTGAGCGCATGTTGCGTGCAGTGGGGTAAAGTGTGACTAATCCTACATATGTTAGATACAATAGAGGCTTTTGGGTCAGATCGCGCAAAAAATATGAACGTGTCGTTAAACCCGCCACCTCCCGACACGGCCAACTAGTAAGGTTTGCCACGTAAACAAAACTTGCCAATTCGTTACTAGTTCAGCACACCGGTGTGTTGGGAGAGTAAACCCACAACATTTACAATCTGTTTCCGTGAGAAACCTTACTAATTGGCTGTGTCGGATGGTGGCGGGTTTAACAACAAACCTAAATTCACGCAATCTATCCTAAAAATCTTTGTTACGAATAATATTGGTCGCGAGAGCCGACTGCGTTAAACTGATTTTTTTAACATGTACCCAAGGGGGGGGGGGGGTGGTGCTCATTAGAGCTCGTGAAAATCATTCCGTCAGCAGTGGCACGACCAAGGCATTTGCCGGGCTGCACCTTTACCTCGACGAATGTAAAGCGCGATCGATGTTTCAACCACAATCCCGTGCGCACCCGTGCATCGCTCGCCCAAAATCGTGCATCGACGTGGCGACACAAAAAAAAAAACCTCGCCGCTCCACCGCTCGTGACGGCGTCCGCCACTCGTTGACGCTCGGACAAAACGGCCCTCGCTGCCAGCCCAGCACCGTAACGCGCCCGCTGACCCCCAGCGGCAGAGCAGCTGTAAATCCCCTCTCTTCGTCGCGGGTGGGCTGCTGATTTGCCAGAAGTTCTCGCTCGGCACTGCTCGCCGTAAACGCGATTTACGCACCGCGCACGGCAGGGGGGCCCCGTCGGTGCTTCGCGTTGGACTGCGCGTGCACTCACACACAGGCACAACGACAAAGACCCCCCGTATAGCCTCAACAGACTGTAGGGGCAAGTGCTGTTAGCGAGCACCTATGAAGGCCGGCACGGCACACGAGGGGGTGGGTGGCCAGCACCACGCCCGACCGTCTTTGTCTCCCCCGGTGGCGATGTTTACACACCGCACCAGGGACTCATTTGAGGCTGAGTCGACCTAGGGACGGCCCAGGACCGGTTCAGATAATCGTCACTGGTGTTGGCCGTGAGCGGGAATCGAACCCGGGTCGCCAGGTTCATAGCGCAGCGCGTTAACCACTACATTACCGCTCCCCACAGGCACACACACACACACAGGCACACACAGGCACACACACAAGCACACACACAAGCACACGCAGGCACACACAGGCACACACGCAGGCACACACGCAGGCACACACAGGCACACACGCAGGCACACACACAGGCACACACACAAGCACACGCAGGCACACACGCAGGCACACACAGGCACACACAGGCACACACACAAGCACACGCAGGCACACACACAGGCACACACACAAGCACACGCAGGCACACGCAGGCACACACGCAGGCACACACACAGGCACACACAGGCACACACACAGCCACACACACAGGCACACACACAGGCACACACACAGGTACACACACAAGCACACACATAAGCATACGCAGGCACACACAGGCATGCATCTCTTCCCAGGCGTGCATTGCTCTGCAGTTCTACTGAGCAGTGCATTAGTGTGTGTCTGTGTGCTTGTGGGGAGCGGTGGTGCAGCGGTTAACGCGCGCTGCGCTACGAAACCGACGGTCCGAGTTCCATTCCCGCTCACGGTCAACAGCAATGACCATTATCTGAACCGGTGTTGGACCTCCCCTAGGTTGACTCAGCCTCAAATGAGTACCTGGTACAATGTGTAAACATCGCCATCGGGGTAGACAAAGGCGGTCGGGCGTGGTGTTGGCCACCCACCCCTTCGTGTGCCGTGCCGGACTTTTTGAATAAGTTACATGTTATAGTATCGATATTTTTTTTACTTATTTAGTTATAACTCCGTCTCTTTGTTAATTAGTCACACACCGTTAAATAATTTACGGTGGAGTTATTTTATTTCATCTCCACACAGTGACAGATGTTTGTTAGCATTTAGTTTTTACCATTCATTCTGACTCTTTAATTGCCCTGATCATTTCATTGCAAGTTCATCAAACAAGCCCTAAGCCAGTAACATAATGCACATCATATTACTGGGAAGATGGGGAGAGCACAAAACAACGTGTTGTTTACATTGGAATGGAGTAATGAATTGCATTTGTTTCCTTCTTGATTTGAATTAATTTGCCTAATTGCCAAATTAATAATTAGTGACACACACACACACTTGGCGTGTAACTGTGAGTGCATTTTTGTAAACGGATGTATTTTTGCGTGTGTGTGTGTGTGCGCGCGTGGTGAGCACATTGCCCTTACAAACTCGATGGACCGCGTTCAATTCCCAAGCCATCACGGCTCGCATTACCTTCCGTGCGATGTCCGCGCGAGCCCGAGGCCTCCTTGCACGTACAGCTCACTGGGTGCGGATGGCGGAGACATCAGGCTCGGTGCTGGGGGAGACAAACGCGATGCCAGGAGTGGTTTGCCGGCCACACAGCTAAACCCTCGTGTGCGGTGCCAGCCTTGATAGGTGCTCACTAGCGGAACTAGGCCTATGACCAGATCACCGAGAATGCATCCGGTCCCTGCGATATCTGAAAAGCCAAGCGGGGCCTGAGCCTGGATAGAGATTGGATGGGTTTACTTGATACAGCAAGCGTGCTGTGACGGTTCCACCTGAAGACGGAAGCTTGTGTTGCCTCCGAAACGTCGTGATTTTTTATTGTATTTTTTATTTAACTTTATTAATTTTAATTTTTTACCTACGTGACTTTACAGAAAAAACCTAAGAATATTGTATGGGTGACCATCGTGCATTAAATAGCTTAATAGCTCATTGGATTCCTCCGGTGTTAGTAAATATTCTGATTCTGATAAAAGACAGGAGCAGTAGGTGTTGTGGGTAGTCAGGATCAGAATACGTACTTATACCGGAGGAATCCGATGAGCTATAAAGATCTTTTTCTCAGATGTCCACGGTCGTAGAGGGCAGTGCAGCAAAAACCTGCACTCCCACCCCCCACCAGCCCACACTGACCAGCATGGTGAAGTATGATAATTGGTTTTGTTACCCTTTTATCTGCCAACAAAACTGACACCTTTTTTTACGTCATGTTTGCATAGACCACAATACCTGCAGTCATAATGCAAACAAAAAACATAACTCTGATAATGTATGCACTGTCCTTGAAGTTGATTGGTCCACATCCGAGACAGCTTTCCTTAGAGCCTAGACTCACATGGGTTGGACCAGATGACGTCAAAAGACTGCAGGTATTGTGGTCTATGCAAACATGACTCCTTGTAAAAAAGGTGTCAGTTTTGTTGCCAGATGGAAGGGTAAAAAAAACAATTATCATATTTTTTACTGCCAAATGAGGTTCCAATGGTGTAAATGGTGAAGTATGTTCAAACATCGCTCACGGCCCCTTGAGGCATGGGCAGCCTGTATATGCACCGCAGCACTTGCCTGGCGGTCTACAAGGCTGTAGGGAGGAATCTGTGCGTGCGTGCGTGTGTGCGCGCGTGTCGTAGCGATTGGCTGTCAGCTCTACTCTCGCCTGAGTGCCTTCTGTGGGCGACGAAGCGGTGACGTGAGACGCGGAGCTGCGAGCGCT